AGCAGCTGCCCCAGCTTAGTCTGATTTATGGGGCCCCTTATCTCATACCTTTTGGGATCTTGACCAAGTCAGGCTACACGGCAGGAGGAAATGTCAAAGGCAGAGGGAAAAGTGGCCCTCTCACTTAGTCTGTCTGTATCTCCAGGGTCTTCCTTTGCATGGTCTTCTTTCCTTCCACCCTCAAGTCCATTCCTCTCCTGTTTCTCTCTGTCCCTCCAGGGTTCCTACTCTAACTGCTTCATCTAGAGTCATCTTGCAAAGCGGTTTTGTTGAACTATTGTATTAACACTAAATACAGCTGCCCTTGGAACGATCACACCCAGATTTTTTTCTAATTATTGTTCACCTTGAGTGTACCATATTTCAGTGCTGATCATTTTGTCCTTTGGCTCAGAGAGCTGTAAACTGCCTTTTACTTCACTGATTCATCATTCTCTCATCTTCCTTTCCCATCTTCCTCCAAATGTGGACCTTTTTTTTTGAGACGGAGTTTTGCTCTTGTCTCCCACGCTGGAGTGCAATGGTGCGATCTCAGCTCTCTGCAACCTCCACCTCCTGGGTTCAAGCAATTCTCCTGCCTCAGCCTCACAAGTAGCTGGGACTACATGCATTCACCACCACGCCCAGCTAATTTTGTATTTTTAGTAGAGATGGGGTTTCTCCATGTTGGTCAGGCTGGTCTTGAACTCCTGATTTTAGGTGATCCACCCACCTCGGCCTCTCAAAATGCTGGGATTACAGGTGTGAGCCACTGTGCCTGGCCCAAATGTGGACATTTCTTAAAGGTAATTCTCTGTTCCTCATTTGTTTTTCAAAAAATTGTAATAAAATATACATAATAAAAATGTACCATCTTAACCCTGTTCAAAAGTACACTTCATTCATGTTAAGCACTTTCACATTGTTGTGCAACCAATCTCCAGAACTTTTCCTCTTACAAAACTGAAGTTCTTATACCCATAAAACAACTCCCTATTTGCCCCTCTTCCAGCTCCTGACAATCACTCTTCTACTTTCTGTCTCTATGAATTTGAATACTCTAGCACCCTCATGTAAGTGGAATCATACAGTATCTGTCTTCTGACTGGCTTTTTCATTGAGTATAATGTGACGGTTAATTTTATGTGTCAACTTGGCTGAACCATCATACCCATACATTTGACCAACATTATTCTGGGTGTTTCTGCGAAGGTGTTTTTTGGATGAGATTAACATTTAAATCAATGGACTCTAAGTAAACCAGATTACCCTCCATAATGTGGGTGGACCTCATCCAATTAGGTGAAGACCGTATTGGAGCAAAGGCCGACCTCCCCTGAACAAGGAATTGTGCCAACAGACTGCCTTTGGACTTGAACTGTAACTCTTCCCTAGGTCTCCAGCCTGCCAGCCAATACAATCAGATTTTTATTTACCAATCCTCCACAACTGCAAGAGCTAATTCCTTAAACCTCTTTTTATCTCTGGGTAGACACACACACACACACACCCCCTGCTGGTTCTGTTTCTCTGGAGAACCCTAATACAAATAATAGCCTCGGGGCTCATCCATGTGGTAGCCTGTGTCAGAACTTCCTTCCTAGACTTAGTTATACTCTGTTGTATGTATACACCACACTTTATCCATCCATCTGTCAGTAGACACTTGGGTTGCTTCCACCTTTCGGCTGTTACGAATAATGCTGTTATAAACACGGATGTACAACAGTCTCTTCAAGACACTGCTTTTACTTCTGTTAGTCATATACCCAGACGTGAAATTGCTGGATCATATGGTAATTCTATTTTTAATTTTTTTCCATCATGACTATACCATTTTACATTCCCACCGGCCATGTATAAAAGTTCTAATTTCTCTGTATCCTTGCCATCATTTACTTTTTGTTTTGTTCCTTTTGGGTTTTTTGAAGTTCTTTCTTTCTTTCTTTCTTTCTTTTTTTGAGACAGGGTCTTGCTGTGTCACTCAGACTGTAGTGCAATGGTGCAGTTATGACTCACTACACCCTGGAACTCCTGGGCTCACACAATCCTCCTACCTCAGCCTCCTGGGTAGCTGGGACTACAAGTGTGTGTCACTATTCCCCCGTAATATTTTTTTAAATTTTTCGTAGAGGTCTGGTCTCACTATGTTACCCAGGATGGTCTTGAACACCTGCCCTCAAGTGATCCTCTCACTTCAGCTTCCCAAAGTGCTGGAATTGCAAGTATAAGCCACTGTGCCTGGCTCTGTGTGTCTGTGTGTGTGCGTGTGTGTGTATGTGTGTGTAATAGTGGCTATCCTAACGGGTTGCAATGGTACCTCACTGTGGCTTTGAGTTGCATTTTCCCAGTGACTGGGATGTCGAGCATGTTTTCATGTGCCTGTGGGCCATTTGCACAACTTTTTTGGAGAAATATCTATTTAAGTATTTTGCCCATTTTTTAATCAGATTGTTTTCATGTTGCTGAGATATAGAAGTCCTTCATAGATTCTGGTTATTAACCCCTTATCAGATAGATGATTTACAAATACTTGCTCCTATTCTGTAGGTTGCCTTTTCACTCTGTTGATCTTGTCCTTCAATGCACAGAAGTTCTAGCTTTTGTTGTTGTCCAGTTCATCTATTTGTATGTTATTTTACAAATCCCTCAACTCATCATCAATATTTTTATTTTTGCTGCCTGTGCTTTTGGTGTCATAGCCAAGGAATCATTGCCAAATGCAACGTCATAAAGATTTTCCCCTCTATTTTATTCCACCAGTTTTATAGTTTTACAGCTTGCTTTTAACTTTAATTTTAAACTTTAACTTCAACTTCAGAATATCCATTTTAAGTTAATTTGGATATATTGTATAAGACAAGGATCCTACTTCATTCTTTTGTAAGTGGATACCTCTTTCCTTTTGGAAACTTCCTTTCAACAATCTTACTACCTCCATAGCTTTAGTTTAGATGTTTTTGTTGTTTCCCAGGGGTGATCAAATTCATATATCCAGATTTTACCACCTTCCTGAGTTCTAGTCCCCATTTTCAAACACTACTGAAAATTTAGTTTGACTAAGTACATCAACCTATTATGTGAAGAAATAATATGTCCCACCCCACTATGGTGTGGCTTAATGAGCTAAAGTAATATATCAAGATAGACATAATAATCCAAGAAACTAGGGTTCAGAGAAGCAAATATTATTAGGGTACATCTTGCACTGTTCCAGAGTGAGGCATGTAGGGCCTTGGGGACAGAACAATCTTGTCTCTAATGATGTTTTCTCTTATAGCACAGGCACATTTCATGAGCCTTTCCCACTACCTAGGTGTTACAGTTTGGATATGGTTTGTTTGGCTCCACTAAGTCTCATGTTGAAATCTGATTTCCATTGTTGGAGGTGGCATACAGCGGGTGATGTCTGGACCATGGGGGTACATCCCTCATGAAAGGCTTGCTGCCATCATGGCAGGAGTGACTGAGTTCTCACACTCAGCTCCTGAGAGAATTGCTTGTTGAAAACAAACTTGTACGTTCTACACGCTCTCTTTCTAGAAGAGGATCTAAGGAAATTTATAATAAAAGCAGAGGAATGCTGAAACCAAACCCAATTCATATCGGTAATAGCTACCATTTGTTAAGCTTCCACAATGATATGTTAGATGTTAAGCCTTTTATGTTACCAGGACTATCTCATTTATCCCGTAAGAATTCTAGAACATAGGTTCTATTATTACCTTTATTTCATTCGTGAGAAAAGCAGAGACTCAGAAGGCTTAAGTCATACGCCAAGGTCATCCAGCTAGTTAAATGGTGGAGTGGGGAATCTGGATCCAGGCAGTCAGACTTTATTAGAACATGTACTTAAAATTAGCAAGAAGGAGTGACAACAACAACAACAAAAAAATTAAAAAATGCTGGCCGAAGAAAACTAAAACAATGTACAATATTTAGCCATGAGATCACTAGCAATGAAGGCAAAGAAGAATGCATAATGGGTTTCTATAGCTCTCACTGTCCGGTTATAGAAAATATTTCTACATTAGTACAAGAACTTTTCTTCCTAGCCCTGAGTTTTGAGAGGAGTTTATGAAGGTCTCTGAGTTCACTCCATCAATGGTATCATCTAAGGCTGTTTAATAATAAATGCCGAGGTAGTCCACATAAGGAACTTTTGCCTTTACCTTTGAGACAAAGCCCAGGGTCTCATGTTAGGAGCACAGCTCTCCAAACATAAGCCTCCAGGGCAGAGGTGAGGGGAGGATGGAGGGACACAATCCAGATTTACAGCCTGGTGGGAATGGCCTTTGCCCTCTCCGTGTCTATTGCCACTCTTGAGGTCCAAGCCCCTACTGCACTGTCTGGTTTTACTGCACAACCCAACTTGGCTGATTGCTTCTGGTCTCCCCACCAAACCATCCTTCACGCTGCTTCCAGCTTAGTATTTCCAAGACATTGCATTTGCAAATCCACTCCTCTGTTTAAAAATGTTTCAGTGACTTGCAACTTGTCTACAGTGTGAAGTCTAAATTTATTAGCTTGTTGCTTAAAGCCTTCTACAACCAGACCCCGAGCGACCTTCACGTCCAATCACTTTCTATTCCTCCAATGGCGCTTCTTAAACTGGACGATTCCTACCCTAGGAGTGCGGCTGTGTGGGATGGTGTTTGAAGCAATAGGGTAAAAAACCTAGTGTACCTTCTATTCTACAGATGTCAATTTACCAGACAACAGTTATTTTAAAACTCTGTTTTTATGCAAAAACAAACACAGATGTTATAGGCTAGAATGCAACATTTTTATGGGCCTGTGAGCCACCTGTACATCTTCTTTGGAGAAAAGTGTATTTAAGTACTCTGCCCATGAATTCTAAACTTAAAACTAAGACTTCAAAGACCCTCTAAGGATTCTGCTGGCCACATCCCAAGACCCTGAAGGGTATTACTTCCTCGCCCTCTCCAAACTGCCCAATAAGGAAGCAGGTGACAAAAAAAACTGACCCTGGAATCACCTTTTGTAAACTCCCACCTCCAAGCTTTTCGACAGCTTGTTAATACTGGCTCCTCTCCCCGAAACCTTTCCTTCAAGTCCCAGCAGCTCCCCCTGACCCTGCTGGGAAGGCGCACCAATTACCTGTCATTCCAGGAAAGCCCGTAGCATGAGATGCTCCCATTGATCATCTGCCAGAAGCAGACTTTCTGAAAAGTTCTTAAGGACCAGCTAGTCCAATTCCTCACTGAATAAAGGAGAAGCAAAGTCCAGGGAGGTGAGGCGATGCGTTGTCCTCCTAATTAGCAGGTAAGCTCTAGGCAGGGCTGGGTCTTCCGGGCTCTCTGCAAGGTCGTGCCCCGCACGGGGCAGAAACGATTTCATCAATTCGTCATCTAGACGGCCTTTCACTGACACTGTCTCTCCGCGTGGAAGAGCCGCTGGGATGCGCAGTGCAGGTGTCGTCCGTTTCAGAGGTAAAATAACCGAGCTGCGGATCTCCAGAGGCCGACTAGAGCCGGGACCAGAAGACAGGTTTCCCGTTTCGGGGACAGCGCCCGTCCCTGGGCGTTGGAACATCGGCTGATGTTTCATCTGGTCAGGCAACCGTCCAGCGCTTCGTACACCTGGCGCTAATCGGCGGGGATTAATCACACACCCGGCAGCGGGCGGAAAGCAGCGGGAGGAGGCACCGAACCCTGAGGTGAGATCCAAGTTCCCGAGCGCGCAAACCACGCCCCTGGGATTACGGCGGCTGCGTGTTCGCGCGCGTCCTGGAGTGCGCATGCGCAGCGGCGGGGGTTGTTCCGGCAGCCTTTCATTGAAGGGAGCCGCCAGTTTCAAATGCAGCCGCGTTTGCCCCGATTCCCTGGGCCTGGCTTTCAGCGTAGCAATTCTGCCGGCAAAGAAGGTGAGCGCAGTGCTGCGTGGCGGCAGAGCTGAGGACGAGGAGCAGCGGGACAAGGAAGGGCGACTCTGGTGAAATCGCAAACTAGACGTCTGTTCCGGCGCGGGACCCCTGTATGCAAAGGTCGGTGGCCAGTTCGGAGCGGAAAATTATTCCGGAAGTGGAGGGCGGGGCCAGCGTGATTGACAGGCGGGAACCCTGTGCGGAGACTGGGCAGGCCTGCGAAGGTTGTGCCTGCGGTGGAACTGGGCGGTGCGCAGGAGTCAGTATTAACAGCAGCCACGCGTCTGGGTCTTACATTTGGCCCAGCTATGTTGAGCTTTTCATGGATTATCTTACGTAGATAAGACCCTGCAGCAGTGAGTGAGCACTGTGACCCACCTGTCTCTTACAGATGCAGAAACTGAGTCCCAGAAATACTAACTTTAGCAAGGATACAGCTGGGATCCTAAGCTTGGCAATCTGAGCCCAGAGCCAATAAAGTTAAGGGCTCCATGGCTCTAGCTTCCCTTAGGGCCGGAATCGAGGCGGAGCAGGGTACAGTACAGAGGCCAGGGATGAGTGCAGTTGACCAGATTGTTGACGGAAGTGTCATAAACGTGGACTTAAATACTCATAAGCAGCTGGTTGGTTTCACACAGGGTGCAAGCTCAGGATGCAGGTGGGAGGGGAGACAGGGCCAGAGCAAGGTGGGAACGTGGTGGGAATGGGCCAGGCCATCCTCCAGCTGGCGGAGCACCACAGCACTGCAGTGTGTGGCCCTGGCTTAACAGCAGTGTGGAAAAGCTTTTCTCTTGGGGCTGTGGTGCTTTCCAGGTGTGTGAAGTTAAAACATTTTAGGGCCATATGGTAGGTAGTACCTGCCACATAGTTGTCTTGGTCAGCCCCGGCTGCCATAACAAAAGACCATAAACTGGGTGGCTTAGACACAGAAATGTGTTTTCTCACAGTCCCAGAGGCTGGGACGTCCAAGATCAATGTGGGGAGGACACAATTGAGCCAACAGCAATAGTCTGTACTCAGTAATGAGTGATAATTGGGGACCGAAGAAAATGAACACTTTAAGAACTAATATGGGCCGGGCGCGGTGGCTCACGCCTGTAATCCCAGCACTTTGGGAGGCCGAGGCGGGCGAATCACGAGGTCAGGAGATCGAGACCATCCTGGCTAACATGGTGACACCCCTTCCCTACTAAAAATACAAAAAAATTAGCCGGGCGTGGTAGCGGGAGCCTGTAGTCCCAGCTTCTTGGGAGGCTGAGGCAGGAGAATGGCGTGAACCTGGGAGGCGGAGCTTGCAGTGAGCCAAGGTCGCGCCACTGCACTCCAGCCTGGGTGACAGAGCAAGACTCTGTCTCAAAAAAAAAAAATAAAAGAAAGAAAAGAACCAATATGTTCCTGAAGTGCTTTCACAACTGTTACCTCGTTTAATGAGCATGAGATTTGCTGTCCTGGTGTGTGCCTTGGCACTGGGAGGTGATGGTTGTCTGCCGTCCACACAGCCAGCCTAAAGAGGGCTGAACAAGTCACTGCAAATGTTTTTCATCTGGCTTAGTGAATCCGTTTTACTCAGATTTATCTAAACCTCTATGATTTAGCCTGTGCTGCTTCTGGAATAATGAGATCTATAATTACCACTGACGGGGAAGTGAAATAATACTTAATGTTTCTTCTGTATTGTTTAGTATTGTCATTCTAAGAGTTTGGTAACCAAGTCTGTCTTTTTTATCCCACTTACCCTGGTGGGAGGAAAAGTGAGGAGATACAAAGCTTCAGGTGCCGTGGCCATCTGGCAGATGTGGTTTAAATCCTGAGTTCAGGCACTTGCTGAGTGACCTTGGGCAAGTCACTTAAGTTTACTGCATCTCAGTTTCTTTCTTTATAAAATAGAGCTTATAAAAATACTGACCACACAGGGTTGTTGTGGGGTTGTGTGAAAACGGTTTAAAACCATTAGAGAACTGGCCATTTAACTAGATAGGTATTGAAGTCATGGGACCTCCATTACCCAGCCTTGGAACAGAAACCTTTATTTATACAGCCCGCATGTCTGGCTGGCTACTCATTCGTTCATCACAGTTTTGTTGAATGCCTATGAGGTGTTGAAGCACCTCATTCTGAGTCCTGGAGCCAGAGAAGAACAAGACAGACAAGGTTCCTCTATGTATGGAACTTATATTCCAGTGAGGAAGAATAAATAGGTTCAGATGGTGCTATGAACTATAAATAAGTTAAATACAGAGTAATGTGATTTTTAAAAAGTGACTTAGAGCAAGCAAGGGGTTGAGGAGTGGGGGTGGTGTTTGACCCCTGTCCAGTGGCCAGACAGCCGGACAGCCTTCTCTGAGGAGGTGAGCCTGAGCTGAGGCCTGGATATTGAGGACCCCTCCTTCTCCAGGCCAAGGGGAGCAGCAAGTGCAAGACCCGAGCTGAGTAGATGAGGCCGGGAGCCTGACCGGTATCAGGCTGACCAGTGTTCTGTCTGGAGAGGAGCTGCTGGTCAGCTTTTTCTCTTGGGATTCAGAACAGGGAGACACCGAGACTTTTTATTTGGCAGTGGGAGCCGAAGCTGAAAGGTCCAGAGGCTGACGAGGCCACGTGCAAGCTCCAGTGTGGGGTAAGCAGAAACTGAGGGCACCGAGGGAGTGAGATTGTGGCGTGTCCGGCACCCGGCTGAGCAGGAGAGTGAACCCCGTGGGTGTGTATTGCTGGTGACGTTCCTGGAGCTGTCTTGAAGTCTGAGCTCCCTTGCCGCTTTAGTCTGCTTCTGTTTTTGGCTTTCCCAGATAGTTTCAGTTCTTGCTCTCAGTTTGTGAACCTCCTTTCAGTGAGCCTCCCTTTACTTACGCTGGATATCTCTTGCAACCAGATGAGCTTCACTAAAGCACAGTCATTTGGACCTGAATTCGAATCCCTGGTTTTCCACTTTTTAGCTGTGACTTTGAGCAATTAATTTCTATAAGAATCAGTATCCGATAGCTGTATCCTTATAGTGTTGTGCAGATTTTTTTTTTTTTTTTTTTTTAGCTGTATCCTTATAGTGTTGTGCAGATTTTTTTTTTTTTTTTTTTTTTTGAGACAGAGTCTCGCTCTGTCACCCAGGCCGAGGAGAATGGCGTGAACCCGGGAGGCGGAGTGCAGTGGCCAGATCTCAGCTCACTGCAAGCTCCGCCTCCCGGGTTCACGCCATTCCCCTGCCTCAGCCTTCCGAGTAGCTGGGACTACAGGCGCCCGCCACCACACCCGGCTAGTTTTTTGTATTTTTTAGTAAAGATGGGGTTTCACCGTGTTAGCCAGGATGGTCTTGATCTTCTGACCTTGTGATCAGCCCGTCTCGGCCTCCCAAAGAGCTGGGATTACAGGCTTCAGCCACCGCGCCCGGCCATATTAAATGAGATAAGAAAAGCAAAAGACCCTGTAGAGTGTTTAACACATAGCAGATCCTCAAAATTTGTTAGGTACCGTTCTTCCCCTTCCTTCATGTGTTAAAGCTTTTTTAGTCCATACCCCTCTCTCGGGATTGAATTGTCATAGTGTTTTTTAATTACCCTTCTTGTAATTATTCCTCTACCTCTGTAGTCATGTTTTTCTCTTTTCATTTTTTCTTGTCCCCAGAATGTCTGACAAAACAGCCAGATACACCTCCATAAAGACAGAGCGTAAATAGTGCTAGTTCTGTGAGTTCTCTCTTCCTGTGCAAATCCATAAACTGCCACCAGTCTGTAGTCGTGTTAATTGCCCCTAAACTGAAGAGCATCGTGGCAGCTACCTTTCGCCTCGTAAATACAGTGATACTATCACTACTCTTATTAAGGCCAAAGTTATAAAGATGGACTCTCGATCTATTAATATTAATAAAATAGGTTTGGGACTTCCTAACATTTGTGCTTAGAAGAGACAGACCTGGCAAATAGCTTGGAGAAGCGAATTCTAAAGAGAGAGACATGGGAACCAGGATGGAAGAGTCAGGCCTCCAGATGGTGATTCAAGGAAGAAAGGAGAGGTAAACACTATCTCAGAGATAGTTAGATTCAGAAGAGGAGAAAAAAAAGATGTTGTCAACGTGGAGCAGAGTTTTTCTTAGCCCTTAGCCTAACAAGGAAAGAGAAATGCCTGGTCTCAGTACTGGGAAGCTGTTCCAGCCAGAGCTCCGTGACTGTGAAGAGAGCTCTCCTGTCTGGAGCCAAACAAAGTTCATACGTCTTGAGGCCAGAAAAATTAGTAGGAGGCGGCTCTGGCTGGTGCTGGAAATGGAGGCTAGGATGAACTAAGAAGCAAACTAAAGATACTTATAAGGATGTGTACGTTAACTTGCGCCATCCAAACAAACTGTGCTCGTGGTCCTCTGCCTGTGAGTCATGATTTTCCAGGACTTCACAACGGGATAGAGTGAAGTAACTTCGGCTTGTGAATGTGCATAGCAGAGAAGTGGGAGAAGAAAGTATTTATAAGCAACACCCTAGATCCTAGGGGTGCTCGTCTTTGAGAAGAGAGCTCTAAGCCTTTTGTAGAGGCATTAGAAAGGTGTGGGAGCCACGGTGAAATGGCAGGGGAGATTCTATTTAGTGGCTTTCCTGGTCTGCATTCTGCTAGAGGCGTTCGTGACATGTCGCTAGGTGGATTTCGTGACATGTCGCTAGGTGGATTGCGTGATTCTGGTATGGCCTCATGCGGACCTGCGAAGGATGGAAAGAACATGGTCTCTGCTTCCCAGAAAAATGTACAACCCAAGGAGAAATTTGGTAACAAGTGTGGAAACTGCTCTTAGATCCTGCTGCAGATTTCAAGCCACTTCTTCCTGGACCATGAGAGAGCTAACATGTTGTATTTATTTTTCATAGGTCCATGGCTAATGAAACACAGAAAGTTGGTACCATCCATTTTCCTTTTCCCTTCACACCCTATTCCATCCAGGAAGACTTCATGGCAGAGCTTTACCGGGTTTTGGAGGCTGGCAAGATTGGGATATTTGAGAGTCCAACTGGCACTGTGAGTATGAATAGCGAGAGATACTGATAAAGACAACCTAACGGCAGCCGTGCCAGCTTTTCTTGTTTGCCTGTCTGGAGATTTTCATAGTTTGAAGTTGGGCAGAGTAGTCTCAGTTTATCTTTCTGGGTAATAGTCACTTCCTCTATTAAAGTCTTTTTTTTTTTTTTTTTTTTTTGAGACGGAGTCTCACTCTGTGGCCCAGGCTGGAGAGCAGTGGCAGGATCTCTGCTCACTGCAAGCTCCGCCTTCCGGGTTCACACCATTCTCCTGCCTCAGCCCCCCCGAGTAGCTGGGACTATAGGCGCCCGCCACCGCGCCCGGCTAATTTTTTTGTATTTTTAGTAGAGACGGGGTTTCACTGTGTTAGCCAGGATGATCTCTATCTCCTGACCTTGTGATCTGCCCGCCTCAGCCTCCCAAAATGCTGGGATTACAGGCGTGAGCCACCGTGCCCGGCCTAAAGTCTTAAACATAGCTCCATGGTTCGAGAAAAATTAGGCTGAAGTCATTGGTGCCTTCCTATTATGGTAGATGATACGGCTTTCTACAAACTCTTTTCCCTCTCTTTCCCCATCCTTCAAATATAATTCTAAGTTTTAGTGTCTGCTGAGTGAACCAGTGTGTTATGATTACATTTTGAGCATAATTTTGTCTTGAACAATATGTCTTAATACTCTGTTTTTTCAGAGTTAATAAGTGCCTTTTTAAAGTTAGTTCAGTTTTTAATATACCTATGCCAGTTCCTCCCACATCATCCAGTGGCCTCTCAATACAATTTTCCATACAGAAAATTCCTGTCTTAGTCGGCCAGGACTGCCATAGTAAAATACCATAGACCGGGTGACTTAACAGGAATTTATTTCTCACCATTCTGGAGGCTGGAAAGTTGAAGATCAAGGTTCCGGCAGGGTTCTGGTTCTGGGGAGGGGGTCTCTTCCCGGCTTGCAGATGGCTGCCTTCTGGCTATAGAGCAAGCAAAAAAGAGGAAGAGAAAAACAGATCTTTTGTGTCTTTCTTTTTTATAAGGACAAGGGCTGCTCCCTTACTGCTGCTCCCTTATGACCTCCTTTACCCTTAAAGGCTGGATCTGTAGCATAGTCCCGTGGCAGGGTTGGGATTTCAACATATGTTTGTTAAGATGGGGAGTCTCACTGTGTGGCCCAGGCTGGTCTCGAACTCAGGCGATCCTCGCCTCTCAGCCTCTAAAGTAGCTAGTGGCTGGTGCACACTACCATACACAGCTTCTTTTGTTTTTGTTCTTTGCAAACATTTTTTTAACATGCATTTTGGTGGGGATACAATTTAGTCCACAGCAGATGACCAATTCCATTTTTACCTTGGAGCCCTCCTCTATCCTTCATCCTCAATCCTTTCCCTGTCATTTGAATTAGTTGCTCCTCAGACCGACTTGACAGATTTCAGTATGAGTTACAGCCGCGCCCACACCACAGCAGGGTATATGTCCATTTGGAGGCTTTCCTCAAATGTCTGGCGACCCTGGACTGCCTGTGTATGCTGAAGAACAGGGTACAGAAAGACTGAGTCTGCAGGGCAGGCTGGCTGCGGCTGCCAGACTGGGCTCCTTTGTTGGGGGCCTCCAGTTGCCAGCACATCTGTGGGATTTTCCCTAGAGTCTTCGGTCTCTCCAGCGCAGGTGCCTCTAAGCTCTGGCCCAGCAGGTACAAGCGCTGAAATCTGGCAGCCAGTCTTCCTAGAGGTGGTCTGGGGAAGAGGCTCCAGGTGGAGAGTCCCCCTCAGTGCCTGCTTTCAGCCTGGCCCTCCTCCCCTTCCCCCTTGCCTCCTCACTCTGCCTGTTGCCTCCAGGGCTCTCCCAGCTCAGCTTCCACTGAAAGCCCACTTCCTGTCTTCTGCAAGGAGCAGGAGCAGGGATTGCAACCTGGGGATCTAACTGTTCTTGGAAAGAATTTCAATCTGTCCCTTTGTTTTCAGTGACCTGCCTTTCCTATCACTTCCTGAGTCTTTCTGAGAGTGAATAGGGGAGATCTCTGGGGACACTTGGGCCTGAGTGTCTCTGCCAAATCACTTCCACGTCTCTGTCTTCTTTCCCTCTCTCCTAAAACATATGACTCCTTCCACTTTCTTTATTTTTGTGGATGTAAGCCTCCATATTACTTTGGTTAATTTTAGTGTGCTTTGGAACACAGTTGAGTGCATGTTCATTCTGCCTTGTTTATTTTAATTTTAGAGGCAGGGTGTCGCTCTGCTGCCCAGGGCAGAGTGCCGTGTTAAGATCATGGTTCACTGCATGGATCATTCGACCTTCTGGTGTCAAGTGATCCTCCCACCTCAGCCTCCTGAGCAGCTGGGACTATAGGTGTGCACCATCACACCTGGCTGATTTTTTAATTTGTAGAAATGAGATCTCACTAGGCTGCTCAGGCCGGTGGTCTTAAACCCCTGGGCTCAAGCAATCCTCCTGCCTTGGCCTCCCATAGTGCTGGGATTACAGGCATGAGCCACTGCACCTGACCCCTTTCACCTTGTGTAGCCTGACAACCCATCTTCTCCCTCTCAGGTCTTTCCATCTCACTCTTCTGCGCTCCAGGCTTCCGCGTCGTCTTCTTCTGCTCAGTCTTTAATTGTCGATGTTTCTGGTTCTATAGCCTCATCTTGTGCGCACGCTCTGGGAACGTACCCTGTGGCTTTATTACCTTTGACATTCTTCTGTCTTCTAAATCATCTTCTGAATAGAGTGTTTTCTCCTGTCCCGGCTGTCCTGCGGCCCACAGGAGCAGCCATGCTGTGGGACACCCTGAGTGGGGTTTTTGTTACCTGTTGTACCTACCATGCCCTTCCCCGCCTTGGATGCACAGGTGCCCTGAGATACTTAGCTGCCTGAGATACTGTTTATCCTTGATAGTCACCTTTTAAGCTGTGTATCGGTCTATGAAGTGGAGTCACCATTACAGCTTGGTGTGTGCTGTGCCTTGTGTAACACTGCAGTTCTGGGAGTCCTTGAACCTGGAGTGCATGCTTTGCAGGGATCTGTGATGCCCTCGAATTGTATGTTACATGTGGGCCTGTGACCTCTTACTAGGGGCTCTGCACCTTTGTGTCCTCAGCTCTGAGCGCCATGCTTGCTACAACCAGCAGGTGTTCAGAGTGAATGAATTTGCTTATCTTGGCATAAATCATTTTACTGTGTTATCTGGGATGATACCCCAGGAAGGTGAGCCTTTGGTTATGCATCCTTTTAACATTTTCCAGTCTCAAAGTTTTGTGGTCTCGTTACTGGATGTAGAAAACCACGGGCCTCAGTTATTCTTTTGTTGTTGTGCCGGAGTGTACCCACGGTTGTTTTTGAAAGATAGCTTTGACCATGCCCTCAGGAACTTCCTCAGCTCACTTTCAGATGGAGGGCACTGGCTTTCTAACCATTGTGTCTCCCAGCCCAGTGAGAGCTGAAGCTGACTGCTTCCAATGTCACAGGCAGCACAGAAGAGCCGCCCTCCAGGTGCTGCTGGGAAGTGCTGCCTGGAACTCTCTGCCGTTTACTTTCTATCAAAAGCTGAGGGAAATGGTACATACGGGGCTTTTGTAAAAATATGAGATCCATCCATTTGTCAGCAGTGTCATTCTATCCTATCCCAGGGCCTTTCAACATTCTGATGAAAACTAATAGATCCCATATCCCAGAATAATGCTATTAATAATTGTATTATTATTACTTAACGATAGCAAAAAGTTAGCTGACTCAAACTGCACACTTGTTATTTGCCAGGTAATCCTCTAATCGAGAGGATTTGGCCTTTCATGTGTGTTAATGTCCTGCTTGCACCATTTCTATGAGGAGGGTGCTACTGTTGCCATTCCCATTTCTGCACTCGTGGAAACAAGCGTAGTGAGGCCAGCCTGAGCCACAGAGCTGCAGGTTGGGAAGGCAGCTGGAACCCTGGCGCCTGGCTGTGGAGTTTGAGACTCTGACTCCTGTGCTGCGCTGCTGACCCAACCCTGGTCAAACCAGGTATTTCACCCCGCCCCGGATACTCTGAGATCCCCTCTGGGTTCAGCAGGCTGGAAGAGCTGACTGCCTGAGCAGAAGGCATGGGCTCCTCCAGAGACTCCCCTGAGCTGAGTCCCCCTGTGGACACCAGGGCCACCTCTTTGTGGTGCTCCCTGAAGGGTCCTCTCTGGAAGAACTGTATTGGTTCCTTGGAGCTGCCAGAGGAAAGCTTCACACACTGGGGCTTAAACAACAGAAACTGACGTCCCGCAGCGCTGGAGGCTGGAGGCTGAGATCAAGGTGTCCGCATGCCTGGGCCCTTCTGAGGGAAAGATCTCTTCCGGCCCTTTCCTTGGCTTATAGGTGGCGTCTTCTTGGGTGTCGTCACATCGCCTGCCTTCTGCGCATGTCTGCATCCACGTGTCCCCTTTCTAATAAGGATGTTCGCCCTTCAGGCTGGGGCCCGTCCTAGTAGTCTCATCTTAACTGATTGCATTTGTGATGGTCCTATTTCCAGATAAGGCCACATTCTCAGACACTGGGGGTTAGGACTTCAACATAGGAATTTGGAGGAATACAATTCAATCAGGCTCATGGAAAATTCTGGGCTTAAGTCAAGAGTAGTGTTTTCCAGTCTGTGTGCGGAGGCGCACACCTATAGTCCCAGCCACTTGGGAGGCTGAGGCCAGAGAATTGTGTGAGCCCAGGAGTTCCATACCAGCCTGGGCAACATAGCAAGACCTCCTCTCAAAAACAGACAAAGAGAGTGGTGTTCTCTAGAGTGATTAGTTTGCTTTAAAAAATAAAAAAATTAAAAAACATGTAAATCCTGGCCCTCGTGACTCATCATCCTGCATCCGCACAGGAGCTGCATGAAGGCTGAGTGGCTGCTAGGCTCCGCGTTGGCAAGTGCATTGGATTTCTTGCTTAGCATTTGGGGGCCTTAGTTCTTTTGGGGGGCTTTTTGTCTAAATGTCTCACCTTCTAATTATGTGCAATATTTACATATAATCTGATAAACTGCTTTAAATTTGTTTTCAGAACAGTGAGCTAGATAATTAAAGAAGCTCTTTCCTGCTTCTTGGGCCCAGTTTTCGTTTCTTCCTTCTTTTTTGTTTTTCCTGGCTATTCTAATGCTAATTTCCTTCCTTTCCTTTCCTTTCCTTTCCTAGGCCGGTCTTAGAGCATCCTCTCATATGTATAGCCAGACCTTCTTTCAGGCTTTTATTAAAATGGGGAAAGGTCATGTGGGAAGCTTTGTTGTTTTCCTGTTTCTGAAGATCATTTTTCTTTCTGCAGGGAAAGTCCTTAAGTCTTATTTGTGGAGCCCTCTCCTGGCTCCGTGACTTTGAACAGAAGAAGCGTGAGGAAGAGGCACGACTCCTTGAAACTGGAACCGGCCCCTTCCATGATGAGAAAGACAAATCTCTGTGTCTGTCGTCTTCCTGCGAAGGGGCCGCAGCCACCCCAAGGCCTGCTGGAGAGCCGGCCTGGGTGACTCAGTTTGTGCAGAAGAAAGAAGAGAGGGACCTGGTGGATCGACTAAAGGTGAGACCAGGGGTATCCCGAAGTGGGAGTGATGGAGGAAACATGGCTTCAGCGGTGGTTCTGGGGCGATTCCGAGACTCAGGTAGCGCGTGTTCCTCTGCCGTTGCCGTGCCTCTCAGCTCTTCATCAGCTCCTTGGGTCGACAGTGCTGCCCTGGTGCTATCTTTTTTGAGCTGGAGGTCAGCAGGCCTTCTCCACACAAGGAACTGTCGGTTCCCATTTATTACGCACCTGGGAAAGGACCTGTTCATTGCCATTGGCAACATGGTTCAGTGGCTGCAAATGGATCTGATGGAGAGCGTGTGGCTTTGGGAGGAGTGTGCAGCCTTGCGCAGTGAGCAGCGAGGCTGGGACCTGCGGGGTTGAGGTCCCGGGAGGGGATGCGGCAGCCCTTGAGTGCTGGCTGGGGAAGGAGAGCTGCCCCAGGTGAGGAGGCGCCGGGCTGAGCCGCCCAGACTCCTTAGGAGAGGCCTGGTTTGGGGCTTCCTGGTGATTTTGCTTCATGTCTGCCTCCTTTAGGCAGAGCAGGCCAGGAGGAAGCAGCGAGAAGGACGCCTGCAGCAGCTGCAGCACAGGGCGCAGTTCAAATATGCAGCCAAGCGCCTGGTGAGCCTCATTTCTTGGGGGGCAGGATTATGTCCAGGCAGGGTCGCTCTGCTTGGAGGCTCATGGATGCGTGGCCAGGGCCTCAGTCTCCCCTCCCTGATCCTCACTGGCTATGTGCTCCTGTACGGGAGCTGTGCTGTGAGTGGTTGAGGCATGGATCCTGGGAGTAGACCTCTCCAGCCAGGCAGCCAGACCCCTGTGAATGGGCGTGGTGTGCTTTGTCTCTGGCACGTGGGAGGTGGGTACTGGTGCTGAGACTTCTTCCTCCCTCCCCACCTCCACTCCTCCTGTCCAGAGGCAGGAAGAAGAAGAAACGGAGAATCTCCTCCGCCTCAGCAGAGAGATGCTAGAGACAGGCCTGGGGGCTGAGCAGCCGGAGCAGCTGGAGTCTGGGGAGGAGGAGCTGGTCCTTGCCGAATACGAGAGCGATGAGGAGAAAAAGGCGGCGAGCGGGTGAGACAGAGGCGGCAGCGCTACCCTGCCCCAGGCCAGGGGACACCCTTGAAGACAGCTCTTTCCCTCATGCCACAGATGCCATGAAGCACCTGGTGAGAGGCATGGTGGCCTCTGCCCTCTGCTCTAAGCCGCATCCTTCCTAGGATCCATGAGTGCCAATGGCAGTGAGGACAGTCACTGGCCTGGCCTGTGTCCTCTCAGCTGTCCTCATGGCAGCTTAGGCAGGGCAGGAACATGTGGGTCTGTGCCTTATACACAAGGAGGCTGCGGCCCCACAAGGGGAGACACCTTGGCTGAGGCCACAAGCCTGGACAGTGGAGAGCTGGGCTGGAACTCGGCTGGCCTGGCTCTAGATCTCAGGCTGAGGCAGCTGACCACGCTGGGTAACCTGTGAGGTGTCAGCCGTCAAGGCGTCCTTAGCCTGAGCTTTCCTTCTCCCATAAGGCCTCTGTTGGTCCAGACTCGAGGTTTCCACTTGATGAGCCATGAGCTGCTGGGTGACTTAGCCTGAGCAGGCCACCCAGGCCATTTTGGGCCCACAGGATCCCTGGTGACAGCCCTGTTCCCATTCACACTGGAACCTCACCACCATCCCTGAGTGTCTGCTCTGGGTGTGGCACTGTCCAGATGCTGTGGACGTAGAAGGGAAGAAGACATGGAGGGGACAGTTAATAGACATGAAAACAAATAGCACCTATGTGAAATCAGCGTGTTTGCCTACAAGGAAAACCAAACAGTGATGTGGATGGGGTGGGGGGCTGCACCTGGAGATGGGTCCCGTGTGTCCCATGGCACCCTGGCCACCGCCTCTTGTCACAGGGTAACTGCAAGACCGGAGACCTTCCGTGGATGTGCCTGAAGGTTCATCCCCGGCCCTCACGGTCTGTCTGCAGGGCGCCTTCTGACGCCACCTCCAGCCTCCCTCCACCAGATGCCAGCTTCCCCGCTGCCCTGACCCTCCTCCAGCGTGCCAGGCCGTCCTCTGTCGTGTCCAAGGATTTGCTCATGCAACGTGCTGTGGCCAGACACCCTGCCCTCCTCCCTTGGCAGATGTCTTCCTCTCCTTTAAGGCCTGGCTCAGGTGTCATCTGGGTGGCCTTGGGTGTCAGCTGCTCTGTTTTGCTCACGCGCCCGCTTGTGCTTCTGTTGTTGCCTCCTCTCCCTGGCTGGGCTCGAGCTGCTTCAGGCAGGAACCACGTCTTTATAGTTTTGTGTTTCCAGAGCTGACGCAGCGTTCGGCGTAGGGGTGTGCTCAGTAAAGTCGAGTTGACATGATGAGCAGATGCTTCCTCGTTCCAGTCTAGTAGTGTGATTCCAGGCTGCCCATGCGGATCTCGACTTCTGCCCCTGCCCAGGGCAGAGACCACTGTGCTGCTTTATGCCTCACTGGAGAGAGGCTCATAAACAGCTTGTGCTCCATGAACCCTTCCTGCCCGCCTCCAAGATCGTGCTTCTGCTACCCCTCCTCTTCCTTAGAGCCCGTGAGGACAAGGCAGAGAACTTGAGTGGAGATGGAGGTGGCAAATATTAGAGGAACAAAGTGCTCCTTCAGGTCTGGGCAAGAGCCATGGATCCCGTAGGTCAGCTTCCAGGGCTTCCCATGCCCTCGCATTTCAGGAGATAACGTGAGCCTCAGAGGACCTGAGTTGTGAATAGAAAACTTTTGCTGTTCATTTCTTCACACACCCAGCCGCTCACTGAGCTCCTGCTGGCTTTGTCCAGCATGCGGCATAAGATTGATCCAAGCCTTTAAGATAGAGCTGCCTGCCCTTTAGTGACCAGGAAGCCAAGCCTGTAATCATTACTCTTCTGATAACCCAAGGCAATTGTGTTCTGTTTTGTTAGAAAGGAATTTCGAGGTGAACAAAAATGTTTTGTTTTTATGTGATGTTCCCATAGGTAGCGTGTGCCTGTCAGATGGTTTTGTGTTTCTGAGGAGCGTAGACTAGTAAAGCTGGCTCAGCTTCGGGCCATGGGATGCAGGGCTGGCCTCCCTGCCAACACCCAGTGCTGATCGGCTCTTCCTGCGTTGCTGGAAAGGGCAGACTGAGGCGCTGACAGAAGAAGAGGTGTAACTGGTCATAAGTGAGAGCGTCCTCTGTTCACTTGGTCAGTCAGTTGTGGCTTCATCCAGGAGATGGCCACGGGGTTCCTGCCGCATGCCAGGCTCTAGGTGAGGCCACAGGGACTCAGCAGAATCAAGGCTGACCTGGGTCCTCCCTTGTGGACATGACAGTCTGTAGGGAGATAGACTGAGAGAAAGCGATTTTGAATGAGATAGGTGTTAAGAGCAGGGGCCATGAATCTGTGTCAGAGCAGCCAGACCTACCGGGGAAGGTCAAAGGCGGCTTCCCGGAGGAGGTGACGTTGCTGCTGCTGTCTCAGAGTTGACTGGGAGCTGGTGAGGGGAGACAGCATTCCAGTCACAGAACATCCAAAGGCCTGAGGTGATGAAGAGCAAATATGCCCCCCGGGACCTCAGAGGGGTCCAGCTTGCTGGAGGGAGGGCAGAGAGGAGAGCAGCCTGCCATGACCCCCAAGGCTTCCAACGCAAGAGTTGGGTTGGGGGTGCTGAGCTCCTTTCTCCTTTTTACGTTTCCCCACCCACAGACCTAAGTGGCCATGGGAGGCTGGGGTTGGCATTTGCGTGGGGGAGTTTCTGAGCGGGCAGCGCCTGCTGCCTTGGTGGAACCCATTGCTGGGAATGGCCAGGGCTCATCACCAGCGCCCAGCACATGCTCAGTGCATTTTGCCGAGTTTGCTGAGAGAAGCCTGTTTTCTGTTCTCTCTCACACAGAGTGGATGAGGATGAGGATGACCTGGAGGAAGAACATGTAACTAAGGTAACACGAGTGTCCTCAGCTGGTGCTGTGTTGGGGCCTGTAGGCTGGGCCCTATACCCCCGGGGAGAAAGCTGGAGTCACTCGGCTGCTTCTCACCCTTCTTTCTACAAAAGAGGAGATTCCAGCACTTGGACTCTGTGGCTTCCCGGATGCAACCCTGGTCCCAAGTTGCTCCCTTGACCAGCTGCAGTGGACCCTGGAGACCTCTCCTGGGTTCGGGGCCTGGGGAGACCTCTCCTGGGGGCAGGGCCGTGCTTGCCACACCAGGGCATTGAGGAGTTCTGGGCTGAAGTCTGGGCGTTTTCTTTCCCCCTGGGTGGTGTGGGTAGGACAGACACGAATGTCCTACCCTTTGGGGTCTCTCATGGTGTGCTTCTCCCCTTGTCCGTGTTCCGATTTGCATGGAGAGCTGTGAGTTATGTGTGGTCTGACATTTCCCATTTGGTTTCATTGATTTATGACTTTTGTTTTCTGTCGGAAGTAGGTATTTTCTCTGTATTTTTCTTTTTTCCTCCCTTCACTGTTGCCTTAGAGGAGTAGGGAGAGGGTATTCTGGTCAGCCTTCCTTTTTCCCTTTGGGGGATGTGTGTGACACACTCCCCCACCCACCCCCACCGACAACCCACCCTCCCCAAGTGGGGACTGTTTGCAATGGGAGATGGTCACCCGTGTCCTAAGATTGGCCAGCCCTCCAAAGTGGTTGATGAGAGGCTGGATATGACTCGTGGAAGGAGCTGCCTTTAGGGCATTTCCTTGAACTTCTGGAGCTGTGGGTGACTTGGGAACCCCTGGGTCCCTCGATAGATGCCTGATGTGGGACATCACTGTCCTGCCTCAGTTTTGTGCATTTGGAGCCACTCCCTTTCCCTCAGCCTCTCAGGCCCTGGCGTATCTTGATGTTACAGAATGCAGTGGGATGTTTTGGTTCCCTCTTTGAAGCACCTTTGTTTCTCTCTGCTAGATTTATTACTGTAGTCGGACGCACTCCCAGCTGGCCCAGTTTGTACATGAGGTGAAGAAGAGCCCCTTTGGCAAGGATGTTCGGCTGGTCTCCCTTGGCTCCCGGCAGGTAAACAGTGGCCAGTGTTTCCACCAGCGGCCATCCTGCTCCTTTCCCCACAGCTTTGTCCTCCTCGTCCAGGCCTGGGAGACCAGTGCGAGGAGCAGCCCCCTCCCTGGCCTGGCCGGCCCATCACTGGAAGGCCAAGGAGAGGCGGGGCAGGTCCACCTGTGTTGGTTAGATGTCATTTAGCTGCCACCATCTCTTTGCTTCTTTGTTTCTCCTTTGTTGCAGAACCTTTGTGTCAATGAAGATGTGAAAAGCCTAGGTTCTGTGCAGCTTATCAACGATCGCTGTGTGGACATGCAGAGAAGCAGGCACGGTAGCCATCGGGACCATGGCGTAGCCGCAGGCGGTCTGGAGAGAGTGAGGCAGGGGTAGCAGTAACCAAAGACCATTAAGTATCTTTCATAGAAAGAATGGCAGAGGAGACCCCTGTTCCTTCCTGAGGCCCCTCTCCTTGGTTAAAAGTGTTCCTACTCTCTGGGTCAGTGTCGGGGAATCACTGGTTTGGAGATGATTTTATAGGCTCTTTCTGGAGAACAAAAGTAAAACCTTAATAGTGTTCCAGTGAGACCACTGTAGGCAGTGCTTGGGAGGGTCTTACAGACCCCACGCCATGGAAGTGGGTCTCAACATTACGGAACCCTCTGTTGGGCCCATGGACAGTTGCTGTCCTCTCTCTTTTCTCTCCTGGTGCCTGTGCCACCCTCAGAGAATAAGAAAGGAGCTGAGGAGGAGAAGCCAAAGAGAAGGAGGCAGGAGAAGCAGGCGGCCTGCCCCTTCTACAACCACGAGCAGATGGGCCTCCTCCGGGATGAGGCCCTGGCAGAGGTGAAGGACATTGAGCAGCTGCTGGCCCTTGGGAAGGAGGCCCGGGCCTGTCCCTATTATGGGAGCCGCCTTGCCATCCCTGCAGCCCAGGTGAGGGCCCTGCAGGGCCGGAAAGCCGCACTTGCTCTCACTGTGGTCTCACTGTGGTCTAGGACATGAGGGGAGTCTTCATCACACCTACCGTGTTCAGACTGACAGTACCTAACCCATTCTTTCCTGATGTGTGAGTTGGAGGTGGCGCGTGGGATCCCTTGGGGGCTCGAGGCAGCAGGGCCAATTGGCGTTACTGGGGATAGGATTTAGGAGCCAGGAAGCATGTGCATTCCTAGTGAAACCACAGGGAGAGGATGCCAGGAGCTGAGAAGAGTGTGGTACCTAAATCTGTTTACAGATGGCTTTCCAAGTGATGCTCCCAACTTCCATGCCTATCATGTCAGTGATGGAACCATTCAGTTTTCCTATTTTTCATTTTTGTAACTGGAAAGCTTTCCTAACATACACCTACCTGCAGCACGTGAGAATACTGTCTTCTCTGCCTCAACTTCTCTTGATTTTTAAACAGAAGGAAGAACTGCTAATGTAGCAGATCAAAAATAGTATCTCACGGTTATTTGGTGGGTGCAATTCCACTGTTTTCTTGCCACTTTAATTTGAGTGACTTTGGAAACAGGACATCACTTGTGGAAAATGCTGTATAATCCAGAAAAAATTTAAGATTTTAAAAGATTCGGGGAACTAAGTAACCATTTTGCACAGCAGCTGAGTGCTCACCAGCATACCTGCTGAGCTGTGTGGGCGCTGGCAGAGAAACGAGGGAAGTTACCAGGCCCCATGGTGTCCCAGGCCTGCCCTCCGGGCTGTTTGCCTTTAGAGCAAGATTAGTGCTGTAGGCATTTATACACAAATATCCTAATATGGCCCTAAAATCTTTACGATTTTTGAATTTTTAAAGCCCTTTGACCATATTTTGCTTTTATGTTAATAGTATTCCAGTGAAATTCTATGCATGGGGACACTGGAGCCCAGAAAAGTTAAGTGACTTATTTTCTCACCAACCATAAGTGATGGAGCCATTCCATTTTCCGGTGTTTCATTTTTTATATGAGTATTCCTTTAACTGGAAACTTTCCTAACAACAAACACCTAAAGATCTGCAGAGTTGCTTTTATTTTTGTTACCCCAGCTCCACTCAACCCTCACTTGAGATAGGATATATCAACCCTGTTTTGCAGATGAGGAAACCAATGGTCAGAGAGGTTAGACAGCTTTTCCAGAGTCACACAGCTGGGAAGTAGCAGCTCCAGGAGCAGAAGCTGGGGCCACTTCCTGGTGCACCAGTAGTTCTCAGGTGTTTTGCAGAAACTCGGGGGCTTCTGGGGTGACGTTGAGGACATGGACAAGGCTAAGCAGGGGTTCCCCTCACCCAGCCCTGCCCTTGGTTTACCCAGGAGTCAGACCAACCCGTTTCCTGTGTTTCATATGTTGGCATTTCATTTAAAGCTCAAGGAAAGCTTGTCCGTTGCTACACTCTGTTATTCAAATGTCGCTACATAGTCCAGGCAGGAAGTAGAAGCACTGACATCAGGAGCTCAGTGTCAGGCAGGCAAGGCTCCTGCAGGGGAGCCCTGCCCTGCTCAGGTGGCCTCATCTCCCCTCCCAGCTGGTGGTGCTGCCCTATCAGATGCTGCTGCATGCCGCCACTCGGCAGGCTGCAGGCATCCGGCTGCAGGAACAGGTGGTGATCATCGACGAAGCGCACAACCTGATAGACACCATCACGGGCATGCACAGCGTGGAGGTCAGCGGCTCCCAGGTGCGTGGGCCTCCCCTCCCCAGGCCAGGGCCGCTGTGAGGTAAAGGGACTTGCATGGTTCCTCCAGACACCTGGGCCAAGAATTCCTTTGGAGGTGGGGCTTGCTAGAGGGTGCATTAAGTCAAGGCAGTGACCTCATCGGAGGCTGACCATGGCTTTCCACTGCATCCTGGGGACCCCGCTACGGCAGAGTGGCTCATTTCCCTGCACCTTACCTGCCCTCATGCTCCTGAGTCGCTCCAGCCCTGGATACCAGCAGCCAGTTCTGTAAGCCAAGGAGATGGCACGAGTGAGGCAGAAGGCCCCTCAGGATTGGATGTTGTCGTTTTTTACTGCAGTTGATTGGAGGGAATTGAATTGAGGAATGCTCAAGATCAGTGCAGGCTCCTCCTGCCGACCTATCGTGGGCCGTGCATGGCACCAAGTGTCCCTGGTCTTCACGCTAACTCTGCCATGGGGGTGATGTTCCTGTTTTACATTGAGAACTTAGAGATTCAGACATGGTCAAGCTGTGTCCTGAGGTCATGCAGCTCATGAGTGTGGAGCTGGGGTGTGCCCACTGGTTTCTGACTGTGAAACCGCCCACGACATCCCACCAGCTCTGCTGACCCGTGCCTGGGTTGAATTGAGGCCGGGATGTGATGGTGACCTTGAACCATCTGTAGACTCCAGGTCTTTTCCCAACCCGGTGGAAACTAGCAGGGGATTCCGTACTTGAGGGATTCAGCCTCTTGCTTTTCTCTAACCCACAGTGGACGCTGGAGGAAAACTTCCCTTCCTTCCCCTCTCTCTCAGCTCCCACCAGCCTGAGGGCTGTGGAAACCCATACCTTTTGTCTGCACCCAGCCCCCTCTCCTCCCTTTGGTGGCTTCCTGTGTGTCCAGGGCCAGCATCTTCTAGGCGAATCTAAGATGTCAGCAGCTCAGCCCTCGGCTGCTTGCCCAGAGCCTGGTTTGTGTTCTTTCCCCAGCTCTGCCAGGCCCATTCCCAGCTGCTGCAGTACATGGAGCGATACGGGTGAGATGTGACCCTCTGAGGTAGTGGGACAGTCCCTTGGTGGCCCCCTGCATCGGCCTTGGAGAGGCAGCACTTTGGTTCCCACCTCTGGCCTGGGCTGTGGTGGGGTGGAACCGCATGCCATTCATGTCCAGGGCACATCATGGTGTGTGCTGCACACAGACCTGGAAGGCTGGGGACCGACCACTGGCTCTGAGGCCTGGCGCCATGGCCAGCCTGCTCTCTGGGAAAGGATTTGTAGCTTGTGACCCAATTTGAGAGGCACTGGGCACAAGGCTTCCACTGGGGCGGGCGGGGCGAGTCACTGTCAGGGCACCACTGCTTAATGTCCATTGGCTTCTTCTCAGGAAGCGTTTGAAGGCCAAGAACCTGATGTACCTGAAGCAGATCTTGTATTTGCTGGAGAAATTCGTGGCCGTGCTGGGGGGTGAGAGCCCCATCCCCCTGCTGACCCCCGGTCTGCACAAGCTGCCGGGCTGCTTTTTCCTTGGTTGCCCATCAGGACGCTTCAATTCTCTGTTTTTAAGAAGGGTCACCCAGGCGCGGTGGTTCACGCTTGTAATCCTAGCACTTGGGAGGCCGAGGCAGATGATTCACCTGAGTTTGAGACCAACCTGGCCAATGTGGTGAAACCCCATCTCTACTAAAAATACAAAAAAAACCTAGCTGGGAGTGTTGGTGTGGCCTGTAGTCCCAGCTGTTCCAGAGGCTGAGACAAGAGAATTGCTTGCTTAAACCCGGGAGGTGGAGGTTACAGTGAGCCGAGATCGCGCCACTGCACTCCAGTCTGGGCAACAGAGTGAGAATCCGTCTCAAAAAAAAAAAAAAAAAAAAAGAAGGG